TGCCTCATCAAACATAGGTATATTGTAAGCTATAGTTTATTTTCCAGTAACCATGTGAGTCAGTGTAAGTGATCAGACACATCTAGATACAGATAAGCACTTCATGTTCTTCCTGAATATCCCACGCACAACTGCAAGAGAGCAGACATTAGAAACCAACAAACTTGCCAGATTCTGAACTACATTTTTAGGTAACCAAAGTTAGACATGCATTTTTCAGATGGAGTCAGCTAAGAAAATTGAGGTTGAGCACAGGTCCCTGCCTTGTGCATTATATCAGCCATTTACTTGTTAAGCAATGAGCAATATGAGAACAGTACTTCTTCCAGTACTAGAGTTACAGTGCTGTGTTATCTGTAGGCATAACTCAAATTTTCACATAAAATTTGGCTCGTTGTCAATAACCAAGGAGCATTGAGTAAGTATTTTTCCCGTAATTGAATATAACGAGATTACCTAAGAAGTGCTAGTCTCTCCACCCATTGTTGTAATTACTGTCTTGGTAAGATATTTAGATTTTTCCATGCTGTTGAAAACTAGGTGCACAGCTGCCTGGAAATCGCACTGAGATTATACCTGTAGATTTCCAGACAGATTACATCCTGATGCATTTGCCAACATTCTTGCTGTCTGCTCATCCTCTCTGTATTATTTCTGTCTATTCTTAGAAAAGTCCCTTTTTTGTAATACCCTACTGGGAGATTATTTAGAGAGATGTTGGTGCTACATTTTCAATCAATAGTGCTGCTTTGAAGCTCACTTGACACTTCCTATTATAAGGCAGTGTTGACTTTCAGTTATCACCACACCCTAACGATTTGGCTACAACTTCCATGCTAGCTCTTTGACTCTTTCTAGAAAAAAACACCGTTACTTTTAGTATTTTCAGAAACAAACTGGAGAAATGTACTTGCTTACAGTAAATTCTTGAGGGATTTTCTTCAGAATACTCCAGCATTTCAGGCTTTGCAATAAGTGCTTGCAGCTTACCAGCATAATAGCCTTCACACCAAGCACAAAGATACATTTGTGATCCTCTGAAAACCTGTCCAGATTGGCTCAGTTGTATGCCTTTGAAAAATATGTTTGCATGTGGTCACTGCTAGATCTTAAAAGCTAAATTATCTGAAGCCTGAGAGAGTTGAGCCTCTTGCAGCTCCTGTGTGGGGCCAGCCTGTGTACGTGTAATTGTCATACGTAAATGAGTATGATGAAAGCCACAGGTCAGCAGGATGAGTCCTGTAATGGTTGCTCCAGCTGCTTTTCACCGGCTGAGCTGTTGTCCAGGTAAAAAAGCAGGAACTGTCTGTCCCATATACTCAGTTGACTACTTTGATGGTGCATAAATGGATGGAAAAATCCAATTTGAGTGAAAACAGAACAAAAAATCAAGGGGGAAAGCAGTTCATGATTATGTAATGGGTGGTATGGGAATGCTCAAGGGGATCAAATTACGATTTTGGGGACAACTTTCAGTTTTATGTTTATTTAGTAGCTATTGGAAAGTTTGGCTTTGCAATACTAGTAATGGTGTTTTCTGTGATCTACAGTTAAACTGCCAAAGTTGAGCTGCCAGTGGTGGAGGATAGCTGTGACCAAGAGCTGATGGACTGTATAAATCTGTCCTCTCAGTAGTTTATAGACAGAAAAACTTGCCTCTCCTGTACATTAGTCACACTATTATAGCTATGGTCATTGCTAGTCCCAATGTTGGGGTTTTTTTAATTAATGCAGGGCAGCTTTTTGATATTTCTATGGGTTGGGTGAAACTCCATGAGATCTGGTGTCCATGACTGTCACCCTTAGTTTACGAAGATCTTAAAAGGAAAAGGAAAGTAAACTCTGTTATAAGCCCAGAGTGCTGGAAAACAGAGAGGCTCCACCCAAAACAAAGGTACATTCAAGGCCAGAGAAGAACATGTGGCTCAAAGAAAAAGTCTACAGAGCTTTGGTTAAGTATTGGGGGAGCAGGGAGGAGGTGTCGAACAGTGAGAAGGTAACTGTCCTTTGCTGTTCTGGGAAGCAGGACTTGGTACAGTCTTTGGGAAGATGCAGGAGTATCCTGTGTATTCAGTACTGCATTAGAAAGAGTTCTTGACTCCAACATTAAGTTATCATTACTAATTATCCAGGTCAAAAGATACTAACAAACTGTGTTCCTAACAGTTCCCAACCGGTCCTGTAATCCAGTGTTTTAGTTACTCATGGTGCTGTTCTGGTGGTACAGTCTGGTTAATAAAGTTTTTATGTTTCTTAGCAAGGTATGGGGTCAAACTCTATTTTCTTCTCTGTTCATCTCACAAATGGCTGCGTGTGAATAACAGATAGTTGCTAGGCTGCTTATAATATGTTTAAAAAGAATTAAAATCTTCAAGAGGAAATGTGCTGTATTAAGTCCTAATTATTTATTTCTGTGCATATAATTTGCCGTTATTTTTTCTTAGACAGCAGCTATAATTCACACAACTTTAATTTATCTAAATTCTAAATGGAATTTTACTGTATTTTTCTAATTTTTATCTCGCCGTGTGCCTTTGGTACTACAGTTTCGTACTTTTGAGTATTTCCATTCCTTGGTGTTCCCCAAAAGAAAACACAAGACTCAAGTCAAGTGCGCTTTCCTGATTTAGGAGTGTGTACATGCTAGAGCTGAGATGGGAATACAGCCCTCTCTCCTGTAACTGCTCATCCCCTGGAAAATCATGCTGTTGGTTGGTGGATATCAATAGCAATCAATGAGTGGCTTATCCAGCCAAATTTATGCTCTTGTAAAATAATGCACTGAAGGATGATCATGTTTTAAATACTTTATTAGATGCTGAATCACTAGTGATCTTTTTAAGAGGAAGAAAGAAGTTCAAGAGAAGGGAAGGCATAAATTCTTACCGAGATTTCTTAGTACGGCCTGGTTTGCCTCCCTTGCTACTCCCCAGAGCATGTCACTCCAAGGCATGTCATTTCTATAGGGAAGAGTGCAAGGCAGAAAGCCAAAAATCTGAAAGATCCCATTATACTGTACTTCTGAAACCTAATCCACATCAGTTTCAAGGTGGCCTTTGTCAGGTGCCAAACAGAGAAACTTTAACACTGAATAAATTAACAGAAGAAGAAGAGTCTTCTTTATTAGTGTTTGCATCAAAAAGTCTCACCCTAATGTTACAGTAGGTGAGTGTTACCCAACAGGCTGTACCACCTTCCAGCAGCAGTAAATGTACATTTGCTGGCATGGCTTTGGTACAACCCCCTCAGTGGTCTTTCGGCCGGGCTGTGTTGGCCCAGTGTAGGGACAGGATGGGGATGAGAGGCAGAGGGGAGGCAGGCACTGACTTCTGCATCAGCATTGCTGCTAAATGTCAGTTGGGGTCTGTATTAAGTGTATACATTTTTAATGCAGCAACACAAAAATTAACTCATTAAGCAACAGTACCTTTAAATTAGAATGAATGCAGAAATACAATATCAACAATACAGTACCTTCTAAAAGTTTTCAGCAGTGATATTTTACCCCCACAGGTTTCTATCCCTGTCTGTGTTCTTTATGGGATTTTTCTTAACTCTTTCCTGGCCTCTCATTTAATTCCCTTAACTGCTACTTTTGTTGTTACTACTGATATCACTGCTCTTACTATATAGTATCCAATTCATTTCTGGTGACGTTCCTGTAAGCATTTTCATAGTAGACCTTGTAAACTGAACTGACTATGTGTTTATTAGATCATATCTGAGACAGCACTTCATAAATTGTCCATCGCATACAACTTTTTTGGTTGAGATAGATCTCCCTTCCCCTCTGTTTTGGTCTCCTTTGGAGGTTACATGAAAGGGGAAGAGGAACGGTTCTTTTTTTGCTTGAAGTTCCCAGTTTGGAGGGGGAAACCACTGAGCACGCAGACTCTGGATGGCATCACGTCTGCCAGCAAGGCTCACTTACTCCAGTTAGGACACCTATTGCCATGTGTCTGCCACACTTAACAAGCAAGACAAGCTGATCTGGGTCAAATAAACTATGGAAGAAAGTATACAATAGACAGAATTTCACACTTGCTCTCTACGTGGCAGCAGTATTGGGCTTAGGTCCTAGAAAATGGGCGTCCCCAACTGCTGTCTCCTCAATTGCATTGAAAAACGGGAAGCCACAGGAAACTCCATCCTCTTTTTTCAGCAAGAAAACCTTTGCCTATTACCAGCATTTAGTTTTTACTGGGGAAATCACTGACTGTCTGACCAGCCTTGGGGAACGCGGCATTCTGTTTCAGGTTTTGTTTCTGAGCGCTCTAAACTGCTAAAAAAGTTAGAATTAGTGCAGGAACTTGCGGGATCGGGGCTGCCCTCGCCGCGGGGGGAAGGCTGGCAGCCAGCCCCACTATCGGCCCACGGCGAGCCCTGGTTCGGGCAGATAAGCGCCGGTGAGCCCCGCGCTGGCCTCTGCTGAAGCCGGGGGCCGTGGTTGCCCCGCGTGTGAGTGGAGGCTCTGCCCCGAGGCAGCGCCTCGCCGCCGGACCGGGGCCTGGGCCCGGCTGAGGGCAGGTGGCGGCAAGGACCTCGGTCTGCCCCGGGGAGAAGCCGGAGGCGGCGGGAGCTTGTTCCGCTCCCGCCAGGGAAGAGCGGGAGAAGCCCTCGGGGTGAAGGCCGCGGCGGGGACGCGCCGCGCCCGGGCCCCCCTCCTTCCTTCCCGCCCGCCGCCGC